GAAAATATATCAAACAATATTAATTATCAATATTTGTTATTGCTTCTTTACAAATGTTTGGTTTATATTCTAGAATTAGCCGAGTGCTATAGGGTTAGAAGATTTTTTTGCAGACCCTACTTTTCAAGCACCATTTGACAGATGGAGGTCATTGGCTTTCCTGTTCTCATTTGAATCGCACTATAGACTTGCGTTATCTATTTCGTTCTATGTCTATGCTACAGGCGCTTGCGATAAGTACCACAATAGAGTCACGCCTTGCGTTCCCTTATCCCACCCTTTACCATGTGAATCTCTGAAAGCTACGATAGTTACATAACATTACTGGCCTACGCTGCCACCGACTTACTGTGGCCCCCTATTCCTACACGAACAATAAAATTTGGTGACTCATTTCTTTGGCGTACTATTCATAAGTGGAATTCTTTGCCCGCCCTCGTGTTCCCTCCTTCCTACTATCTGGGGTCCTATAAGAGAGGCGTGAAGAAGCATTTTTACAGGCCGGCAAGATGAGGATGGTTGGTGTGTCAGTTTATAACTGCTATACCAGCTATCTTCGCGTTTGGACTTTATCACCACTTAACATCAGGTGGGGCAGAGTCATTTGCCTACCTGGCTAAATAAATAATAATAATAACAACACCACGAAAGAGTAGTGCTATTTCACTGCGGTATTCTATAAGGTGGAGGTTGAGAATATCTAAAAATATATTGACAGAACATCAAATGAGGTGCATAATGAAAATGCAAGAGAGGCGGTAGTAGAGCGCCCGTCTGGGGAAGTAACCTACACCTTTTAGAAGACCACAGTGGAATAATACTACCTCTTGGTGGTGTTGTGTTCCTGTCAGTGAGTAAGGTTCCAGGGCTTCATGGGGTAGGAGATTAAGGCTCGTATTATAGAAAGATTCTCAGTGATTGATCTAGTCTTAAGCATAGTTAGAAAGGGATGTCGTTATCTAAAGCACATAGCGACATCCCTTTCTAACTGTACTCAAGTAAAGATCGACACTTAATTGTCATTCTGTAATACGGGCGTTAGTATCGCAAGCGTCTATAGGCTATGCTAGTCGGGTACCATCAGGCGAGTCATATGCAATGGTACGACGACCTCCGTGGCCGAGTGGTTTGTACGCCGGGTTTCAAGGTGTCGCCTACTTGAGAGGTCCCAGATTTGAATCCCGGTGGGGGTAGATGTTTGTGTGATGAATACGAGCATTTGTACTCCTGTCATGGATCTTTAATATGTATTTCTATATAAATAAACTTATATATGTATTCTGTCCGTTACTCTAGTATCCCATAACACAAGCCTGCAGAGCTTACTTTGGGGCTGGGTTAATTGGTGTGTTGAAAATATTTATTTTATAGATTTGTTTGCCACCCCTTTAACATGAAAAATCTTTTTACTCGCAAGCTGCATATTTGATAATGTACCAACCGCGCAAGGGAAATATGGCGTGAAGGTATTTAGGTATCATCCACTTGGATGAATAAAGCACTGCTGCGGGATGTGCAACACTGAAAAAAAATATGAAATCACAATAGTAATGATATACTGATTAACTTTTGCGGGTAAATGGGACAGCGCGTTGTCATTTTTCTATCAAAAAATTACACAGTGAAATCTATTTAATCCACTTGTAATTTATGTCTTGATATAGGTATAATCGAAAGTCATTATAACAATATAATTTACAAAATTTTCTCCTAATTTCTTGTTCACTACTTCTTCTTCTTCCAGTGGCTCACCGAACAATGAAGGTTGGTAGTCAGCTCAGCATAAGTCTGCTTATCTTTAGCGAGATGGAATAATTCCGCGGCGCTCGAGATTCCAGTCCATTCTCGTAGGCTCCTCAACCAAGACTTCTTCCTGCGACCGACGCCTCGTTTTCCAGCAACTTTGCCCATCAATATAAGTTGTAAGAGGGCGTACCTTTCGTGTTTCTTCACGTGTTCTAGATACGCAACTTTCCTCACTCTGATGGTATCGCAAAGTTCGCGTTTCTTGCCAACACGTCGTTGTGTTTACTTAAAAAATATTAAAGTAATTTAAATATAAAAAAAAGTTTACTAGAAAACACTCCACGCGGACTAGGCAGCAGACGGGACTCGAACCCGCACTCTTCGCTATCCGAGCGAATGCACTGACCATTATGCTACCGTGGCCCTAACGACCGTGTCGAATTTTCTCTAGCCTTAGGCTGCACGGCAGCGCCATCTCTTCGCATTGTAGGTAACCCACAATGTCATATGAATACTTTTACAAGTATTAAACAGTTGGAAGAAGAAATAGCAATTATAGTTGTTGTTATTTTTTCAGCAATTAACTGCTAGATGTTTAAATCTAATGAAAAGTAAAATTCGACACGGCCGTCAGGGCCACGGTAGCATAATGGTCAGTGCATTCGCCCGGATAGCGAAGGATGCGGGTTCGAGTCCCGTCTGCTGCCTGGCCCGCGTGGATTTTTCCAGTAAATTTTTCTTTAGAGATAAACATCTAGCAGTTATTGCTTAAAAAATAACAAAATAATTTAGACATGTATAACTTATTTTGTTAGCGCCTCCGAATGTAACATTATAAATTTATTTTTAGTTATGAAGGTCGAATTCATGTCATGTAACGAGGTTTCCAGCATCTATAAGTATAACAAACATTATAAAACTTAGCCGTCCGATGGCATTGTTTTCGTGTCAGAACAAAGAGTACCGACCGTCAGAACGAGGCTACCTACAAGCGGATCACTTGATCATATTATTGTTTGTTCAAAATCCTGCAGTTAATGGTATCTATTCCATTAATATTTTGAAGGCTCTTTTCTTCTTCTGAGATTAAGGTAAATTGTTTCTTTGAAATACAAGTAAGTAGTTTAAGAGTGGTAAGGGAGAGGAGTACGGTAATAGCGGATTTCTCACTCCAATTGGAGCGTCCTTCTGGAGAAGTGACCTTCACATCGTAGAAACACCAGTGAATATTTTTTTGGGGATTTTTTAAAATTTATCTCTTTATTTTAATAATGCTTAAACCCGATTAGATTATTTATTAAGAGATTTTTTTTTCTTAGATATACAATTCTGGGACTGGAGGATTAGGCTCGTATTATTTTTATTCGAGGCGTAAGAAATTATTGAACGCCACCTGATGTTAAGTGCAAGTGGAGTCCAGTTAGGGTTGCCAACCCTACTATATAATATAGTATCTTACTATATTAGGGGATCAAATACTATGTTTCTATAAATAATATATAGTTGGCGAAACTACTATATTTTGCGTATAATAAATAAAAATAAATATTATTAAGGCGTTGAGCAGCAAAAACATATTTATTTCAAAAATAAAGTAAACATTTTAACCACATAGGTACTATATTTTTTTTCCAGTTCTTTTCTATCTACTATATTTTAAAAGGTATCTGCTTCAAAAATACTATATTTGACAGAAAAAAGGTTGGTAACCCTAAGTCCAGTCGTCAAGATAATTGATGCCACAGAAGGTGTACCGCACCAGCCAACTTCACCTGGCCGGCCTGAAACCAGTCCGTCATAGTCAGCAGAGTTGTTTTTTTATTTTATTTTTTTACAAATATCACTTGATTTTTTTGGGTGGTATTGTGTTTTTGTAAAGTGAGTGGGGTTCCAGGCGAGAGCTCTACGAGTTATTCTTGGAAAGAGTTCAGGTCGGCAAGGATGTATGGAGTCTTCGTGACTGGAAAACGCTCACAAAGGAAAGGTGAGGTATATCATTAAATTGTAAATCGGTTATAAAAAAGGTCATTTTTAAGTTAATTTGACTTATACCTAATAAGATTAAGGTGTCGATTCTAGCACGATTCTCTAAATCTAAACTTAAATTTGACAACAGTGTATCCTTGTTATTCTCTATACAGAATGAAAAGGAGAGACTGATGTTAAATTTAGTTTTAAGTTTAGAGAATCACGCCAGAATCGACACCAGTGTATGTATTTTTTGTGATGTTACGGTCGTATTACTACATATATTACAAATTTTCGCACTTTGTCACAGTGAATTATGTTCACATAAACATATTTTATGCTTTACATATTTTAAACTTTATCTTTAAATGATGAAAATGTTAAATAATTCAAGACGACAAAGTTTAATAGTTACATATTATAAAAGTAGAGGACTTACAAGTTTTTTAATTAGAGTTATTATTCTTTATGGCTTTGAAGACTACTCGTTTGCAGTTTTATTCAGATCCGAGACAAAAAATTACCATTCAAGATGTGGCAGCGTGTAATTTTTTAAACACCCCCAGGAAACCTTTTCGGAAGCTTCATGAATTAAGAAAAATTAACTTTCCGGAAGGTAATATTGCTTAAACGAGCCGCTAACGGTCTCGTACAAAATTATGTGAAGCCGTGACATTTTTCTTGCATCTACAGAAGAGGCGGAAAGCCGCCGTGATTTATATAATGAATAAAAATGCTTCCTAGACTATGAGACGCCATTTTGGGGAGATATTGCAATTAGCCACCTTGATGGCTTTTTCAAATTGAGAATGTTACGTATTGATATTAGGTGTAATTAAGAGCCTTCATTACATTTATATTGGAGTTGGGAGTAAAAATTTAGTTAAAATGCGCCAGAATAAAGTTATACCAACGCTAAACGCTATTTTGTCACGTTTGTAGAGTAAAATTATTTCTGTAAATACGACTTTAAAAAGTTACAGAGGTGCAAAGTGTGATGTCACAATTTCCCATATTTGGTCAGACGAGTAAACGTACACCTTTCATTCGAGATCAAGACGCCGTAGATGTTGTATTGTTTTGTGCGTTTAATCTAACATCAGCATCTGGCGTCCCAACAACAAATTAAGCGTCACACCGGAGCAATCTGCGAATTACAAGTGTAAATAATCCGGACGACGCCCAACCACCATCGTGGGTTGGGCTCCGAGAGAAAAAAAAAACTCGTTAAAATAGCGGCTTAAAAAAGAAAAGCGCTGAAACGGGAAGGCTCCGTCGGGTGGTATCGGTTTTTCTCGCGGGCGGTTCGCTGGGCGGGGCCGAGCGCCAGTCCCGCGCCGCCGGCCGGCCCGAACGCACGTACTCAACGCTCATTGTCCGTCGTCCCGCCACCGTGCACATGGTCTGTGAATTTTCGACATCCCGATGTCGTCGTGAATAGTAGCAAAATGGACTTTCAAAGTGCGATGGAGACATTTGCTGAGGCGTGGGCAGCCGCAAACACTGTCAAGTCGGAGGTACCGAGTGATTTGTCGCAGGTGAGATGATTTTTTTATTAATCGCGTTTTATTATTATTCGCAAAAAATAATGATATCGGGTTAGTAATATTTGTTTAATGCCTTTATTTTTGCTTTTTCTTATTAAGGTATTGAATTTATTTGTACTGTTCATCTCCTCTGACATATTACTTAAGCGTAGTATAGAATACAAATTTACTAAGTTTACAAGAATCACTTATTTCTTTTCTACATTTTAAACCCCCGTGATGTTGACAAATAAGTACCTACCTGAGACTTCAACATCCCTTCTTTATTAGCACTCAGATTTTATTGCCACAGTAAAAATCATTTTGTTCAAAATAAATATAAATTGGTTATTGTACTGTTTATTAGGACTTGTTATTGTTGCAGTTTTACGTTGTAGTAATACAAAACGTCGCATCTAGACAATAAGCGACCGCTCTTATCTTGATAGCAATGATTTGAATTAAATAATATGTTAATAACAGTTTTATAATTGGATATCTTTATATCTCAAGGTTATTTGACAATGCTGGTGCTTAAAATTGATTTGTCAATTCTAATTTAGGCACTAACGGAAATAATTTTATTATCAATGCAATTTCAAAATAGGTTTAACATTATTAGTCTTGGTCTGAACGTATTTAATTTCCATACACTGTCATTATTATGTTTGATTAGGTGAGTTGATACATAATATTTCTACTCGCAAGCCAGGTATTTAGATTACTATCTGGGTCATTTTGGTATTTCTAATAATTAACTTAGGTACTTATTTAATCTGAGATCATTACCTAAATTAAAAATTAACTCCTAATCTGTGGCGATGCCGATGCAATCTGTTACATATTTTTACGATTAGATTTTGAATATCAGGATTAACGTAGAAGTTAGATTTTACATTGAAATTCACGTTAAAGACGTGCTGATGATAATAATTAATACATTTCATTAATCTTATCATTTATTTAGACATCTTTGTCGCTCATTTCATCTTCACAATTAAGTTGAAACTAAACACTTATCGACTTGAAGTGTTCAACACAGCTAGCTAGACTTGCTGGCCACAAAAATTTGATCTGCTTAATTGCCGACATTAGGTTATCGTCGCAAGTAGTAGATGGCTTATCTGATGAGTAAAGTGACTACTAAATCGAATATTTATCAACACTATTTTGCTCATGATTTTGCAATAAAAAGTATTTATATGTAATTCCGTCTCTTTGTAAATCCTAGTTAACCTCAATTAAGTCGAAAACCGAACGTAATTTATAACAGACGTAAAAAGGTTCTAAATTTCAGAATATTTACTTCTTTTTTACTTATATCAATATTATCCATACTAATATAGCAAGTAAAAACTAAAATAACATCGTCTGGTAATACGTTTTGCGCTTAAACCACACAACCGATTTCGATAAATTTAAGTGTGCAGGTAAAAGGTACTTCGAAAAATAGCATAGATCACAATAATTTAATTTGAATGAGATGAAATAGGTGATGATAATTTGTATATAAAATCTGTTATTTTACGTAATCAGCATCAGCAGAAATTCCTTCATATCTTTATATTACCAATTGTATTCTAAACTATCATTGTTAGATAAATGATTGCATTAGCCTTTAAAAATTGTTTTCATTTCAAGTAAGTTCTAAACAAAAATCGATAAAATGGATAGTAACCGGGTCGACTACCAATTTAACATTGACGTAGTTATATATACGCGTAGTTACAAAATATTTGATTTACAAACGTCATTTAAAGTCACTTACACCTTTTTTAATTGATAAAAAGCATCTTTCTATTAATTGTCGCTTTATTATAGTCTAAGTAAGTGTTTAGTGTTATTATATTAGTGCAATACTTAATTACGATTTAAGCACCGGAGTGATTTACGAGCCGGTTTACCTGCGGTTAGGACATGCGAATTAATCAAGCTTCTCTCCGACACATTTTTTATTGCGTAAACATTCTTTTTTTAACTCGAACAACAAATGATATGCTTTTGTTTTGATTACGCTGCTCTTCTTCTATTTAGAAAATCAAAAGAAAATAGATCAAAGACTGATTTCGGAATAGTAAGGAAAGTAGACAAGTAGAAGAAGATAGTGTTTTTAGTGACCTTTTTCCGTTTTACTATTAATTCTTATTCAAAAAAAAAAAAAAAAATTTTTGTATAAAACATGAGTAAAATATAAACTTAAATAATGTCGTATGAATCTAAAATATAAATTGATAGAAACAATCACAGAAACCTAAGTCAAACAGAATTTTACGGTCAAAAAAGTTGCCTGTCCTAATTTTCTTTGAATTTGTTGCTTGATAGATAAAATTAAGATCTTCATTACCTTATTAAACTTAGAACTATCGGACCGCAAAAATTCATTTTGCTATTAATTATTATGAATTGTATCAAACAAAAACAACCAAAACTCTAATATTGTGGTAACGCCAACGTGACGCACACATTTTTTAAATCCTTTACAGGATTTGCGGAACATCATATATGCGATAATATGAGTAAAAAAAAATTAATTGCTACAGCGGAAATCCCATACTTACGGTATATCTAAATGACACCACTTTTCCGCATTGCTTGATTGAGCCTAGATTTTTTTAAATTTGGTAAATGGGGTGGCAAACAAGAGTATGTCCCGCGTGATGGCTGCCACTTTAGCCTATAGGCGCTTGCGATACCAAAAATATCACTCACGCCGTTGCCTACCCTTACTCAATCCCCTACCCCGTGGAGCCTAGGAACTTTATTGACCGACAGAAACACAACACCAATAAAAGGTAGTGTTATTTTACTGTAGTCTCATGTGACGGTGGAGAAGAAGAAGTTAGCTGTTAATAAAATCAACATACTTTCAGTCAGGTGACATTCTTACAATTAAGTTGCAGGTGTTCTTTCTGTCTAAAGCTAATTTTGACTATGTGTAAGAAATGTTAGCAGTTACGTATTTGTCGCTCTAACATGGCAAAATAATAAGGGTTATGTATTGATATATTAAAAATTATATAGTTAGAATCAACTAAATTTAATAATTATCCATATTAAAATACTGAAAAGAACATTGTTTAGATATACAATGTCTAAGTATCTATTCTGTATGTCTTTATTTTTGAACTTGCAGCGGGTTGATTCAGGAACGAATTATATGTCGAACTCGTGGTTATGTTAAAATCTTCAATGAAAATCTGAATCCTCGTGGAGGTTTTAGATTGAAATTCTATTCAAAAGCTATAATTTATATGGAATTAATGTAGGAATGTGAAATGAGAATAAGCTGAAAGTACTATTATTTTGTTTAACATTCTTTCATGAAATAAATAAGGTTTATGATTTATTTAGGATACTTTTAGTCTTGTGTTTCTAATGTTCAACAAAACAAAAATAAAACAGGAGCGTATTTCAAATACTTCTTTTAAACGTTAAAAAGGTGATAAAAGAAAGCCATAATATTATAGATAAAACTGGACTTACAAGAACATACATGAACAGTGAACACCTTTCCGAAAATTCAAAATTTAGTCCGGTTCCCTCACTCTTTTATTATTAGTACTTTATAAACATTTTATTTACGAGCAAAATAGCATTTCTATGTTATACTTAGACATCTTCTTACGAACATAATTGATCAGTAATATAGAACTGTTCCATTTATAACATAATCGATTCGGTGAACACTGATCAACACGAAAATGTTAAGAATAGTCAGTTGAAAATAGTTACCTCGACTGCCAGCCAGCCATTGTAAATACTTTTATATTGAAATGGTTCATAAAAAAAAGTAATACCACATCGACAATACGGAATGAAATAGAAAACGTGTCGAAAGTAATCGATCAGCCGACTCGATTCCAAGTTTTACCGATAGCGGTGTTTATAAATAATCAGTATGTGAGTTAATCCATTATTTCGGATTATTGCGTTGGCGATAACGCGTTTATTACTGGCTATAGCTGATATGAGTATAAGGTCGCATTCTCATAGAAAGCACGAATGCAGCGTTCACTTTTTTCCAATGCAGTACACGCCTTTTTTTTAAATCAGAAAAAATAACCGGTGTTTTATATTAAATTATGTTAGATGAGATGTTGACGTTCTATAATAAGAGTAAATTGCGTACTGATATTAAAATTTGCCTATCTTAGTCCGATGCACTTGTGATACTCTTAAATCCTAGATCATGATTACGCCTTTGTAGTACATACTTCTAGTAAATGTTATATTTTTCCAAAGACTAATTTGTACATACAAGACTACAACTGAAAACAAAATCAAGATCTGTGATTCAATTACGAAAATATTTCAATCTGCAACTCGTCCCATATTTGCCATGTGATTGTGGAATTAGTTGGTAAATTAAGTACTTATCACATATTATCAAATTAATTGCTCATGAGTTGATATCATATTTCGTGTCATCAGCAGTTTTTTTTTATTTCTACATCAGTACAAATGCAAGAATATATGGTGGGTACGTAAATTTTATTTGAGATTTTTTTTCTTTCTTTTGGCTTTTTGCTTGTATTGCGGATTCGTCACGAGAGCCTTAGTTCTTTTGACGCGCCGTACGCTCGCACGCGCCAATAATAACTACGCTGTTAAAACGTACGACTATGATTGAATTTTCATCAAAATGTGTTTTTACCGATTTGTCCACTGGTCCAGAAACTATGAGATTACAATAACAGAAAGACGTGATTATCATTGGGAATGTAATAAAGCCAAGATAATCTTTTTGATAACAAAGCGTTTGTGCAGCACGATTATACATTGATTTACTTTGGATTGTTATAGGCAGTGGCCCTGTTAAATCATATTTTATTTAACTAATAAATACCTATTATCTACGCTTTTATACAACCAAGTTTTGTAAACATATATAATGTAGGATTCTTATAACAATATATAATTAATTTATATAATGGAGAGCTTTTTTCAAGGAAGCAGATGCCTTCTGGGATAACAGCAGAATGTTTTCTAATTACTTAGGTACGCAGTTTTCTTACCCTCATGTTACTCCATAGGTATAATTTTCACACGGTTGTTGTATTTGCATTCAACGCCTATGAACAATTATAATAAAGCTTATAGTACTAGCACTACAGGTATCAAAGTCAAATAACAAACTATACCGCGAATAGTCTCGGGCACCGTTACTGATATCAACGACGATTCCGCGACGCGCGTTTCGAAATAGATATAAAAAGGGTGTAAGCACAATTACATCTGGTAGGTAAGTACGTAGAAAGTGGCTCGTGCCGAGCGATCTGTTGTCGCGACAAAAACTCCCGACAGTTTAAAGTGTATAAATAATCCGTGCAATTAGACACGTACGTCCAGTCAGGTGAAATACGTCCGTGGTTCAATTTGCGCCCGCGCCGGCCACAATGCCCGATCCGAACCAAATTACAGCCGCCACGAGCCAACACACCTTTGTACATCTATTACCGCCCACCGATCCGCTAACACCGCTTTTTTGCCCATCACAGATTTTCACCCGAATATTATTAGTTATCATTTCTATACAGGCAGATGTAAAAAATGCGATCGTCATTTGGCTGCTCATTCGTGTACCCATATCTTTTACTATCCGTGAAAGTTCATTACGCAGCGTGTTTGATAATATCAGAACTCTATGAGAAGTACCGTCTATTATGGACGCTGTCAGGAGCGTTTGATTAGATATATATTTTTTGTTCGCGTAATAAAATGATCTGAGTGCATGCTCGATCAGCCGCTGGCCAGCCGCGCGCGTGCCGCCGACCCGTAATAGGCTCCATCTCGCGGATAAAGCGGCGACACCGTTACCTTTCTCAAATCACGTACACTATTGTAATATCCAATCGCCCAGAAATGAGATTGCGGCTAACAAGTTATTTACATTGACGTTTTAATATGGACACCAGCTGAAAAAACTATTTAAAAAGGTAATTATAACGCGGTAGTCGTAATAGCCACCGTACGCGCGGGCACGCTGCCTTTGTGACGGAGCTAAGCCCGCGAGATTAATTTTGGCGGTACAATGAACCAGTTTATAGTCAATAATACGTGTCTTAATAAGAATCGGTTGCGATATTTGCTTGTCAATTCTGTAGTTTCGAAAGCGGCCGGGTCGAGCGCTCCCGGGCTGAGTCGATAGGATCTTTATTACGCCTCGCTTTTTTTGGGTGAAAAAAATGATTAATATAAGGGATCGGCTCGGACGGATAAGTAGAGGAGATTGACGGAATGGAGCGAGGTCTGTGACCGTGTGGGGTGCGGGGCGGCGGCGGGGGCGGGGTGCCGGCGAAAAGCCGCGAGGCCGCATTGCGCGGGAGCAGCCAAAAACTAACCATAAATTACTGGCCACTTGCCGTCTGACGACACGCGCGGAGCTTTTTTGTCGAATCACCGATCCTGTTACAACGTGAATTTCTCACGAACATCAGCTCATGAGGCATATCTTTTGAGATTGCTCGGAATAATGAGCTCCGAGATTTACAGACGACCGCGATTTCATGTGAAAGCATCTACGTATTATTTAAATGAAATGAACTCGACACACCGCTTTCCATGTTTCCACTGTACGCGTCGTGTGATTTTTCATAATGTAAAAGGTAAATTAACCGAAACAACATTGTCTGCTATAAAACTCAAACATATTAATCACTCATTCAAAATTTACTGTGCTGATATTAAATTAGCCAAATATTTTTTTTACTTAAAGCAAAGGAAGTATAAATACACCCAAAGACGTAAATACTTTGATTAGATTAGTTGAGGAATTATAATGAAAAACTTGTTGAACAAATTGCAGCGCTAATTAGCTGACCGCTGCGAGTTAATCATTCGCACACCCATCAATAAATTTGTTTGGCGATTATGACGGTCGACATGGGGACGTCACTAGATGGCAATACGTAATTCAGAATTCCTGTTTTTTAGTTAGAAATGGCATATTTGTGAATAATATGATTTAACATAGTGTACTGTACATATTATGTGTGAAGCTTTAAAAGTTGAATGTACAAAAAATATAAAAAGTTTTAATCAATATGAGAAAAGTATTTATTGTAAATAGAAAATGTCATACAATGTGTTACGTTTACATATCTCAAGATTTTCGTTTAAATAATACACGTTCGTTGTAATTTAACGTAGACTGGTATAACTACCTTAATCGACGCTCGAGTAACATTTTTCTTGATCTGAAACATTTACAGGTGCTTTAGAGTACTAATAATTTTCAATGACAGTAAGAATTTGTTACGCAATGTTGTGCTATCTATATTGAAAATCAAGCTCACTTTTATTTTTAAGTATAATAATTTTATAATAGAAATAACGCAAGTAAAATATAAGAAAATATAAGAAATAAAAAATTATTTTAAAAATGCTAATAATAATTTTTCCATAAATAATATGCACACTTATAATGGTAGCACATGTATAAGGCACATTATAAAGATTATACCAGAGAGCCATCAAATATTAAGCGGTGTGCGCATTAATAAATATTTAATATCGATGACAACGAACATTGGTTAAAATTGTCCGATCAACATAATGACACGAAAATAAAATAGCCAAACTGGAATGTCTTAAATTTAGTACTTGAGCATACAAAGCTTGCCCGCCTTTCTCCAGGGACGGCAAGTGCTAGCGATTACCTCGTTTTTTGCCCCCCTCATTATGCAGATTCCGGCGAAAAAGGAATAAATTTAATAACACGCGTTCGTGCGCTTGCCTTATCGAACGCACTTGCTTCTGATAATCTGCGCGCGCGCCAGTCCGCAATTACTGACGGTGGTAGGGATTGCGAATACTGGCGTGGACGCTGCTGTATCGATACTATCGATACGTAGGGAAACAATAAACAAATTTTATGATGTTTCGAATAATAAAGAATTGGATTAGGTAATTTTGAATAAAGTTTTTGGAATAAATATAATAAGTAAAAATAGCCTAAATGAAATTATTGTGCCCATTGAAGCTAATACAACACTTTCATTTATATTTCTTTTCATTTAAGTATATATCTATTGACGACCTCCGTGGCCTAGTGGTTTGTACGCCGGGTTTCATGGTGTCACCGACTCGCGAGATCCTGGGTTCGAATCCCGGTGTGGGCAGATGTTTGTGTGATGAATACGAGCATTTGTACTCCAGTCATGGATGTTTAATATGTATTTCTATATAAATATACTTATATATGTACAGTATATGTATACTATCCGTTACCCTAGTATCCCATGACACAAGCCTTACAGTGATTACTTTGGGGCTAGGCTAATTGGTGTGAGTTAAAAAAAACTGCATAATAGGTTTCTATTTGGTCCCACGACAACGCCTAACTAGAGCTGAGGTCCGAGTCTCAGAGACGCCCTCTAGTTGAGCCGAGCCCCTCAGGTTCGAGTGGTCTAGAGGCTCCAGGCGGAGAGGTGACTCCCCCCGTGAGGAGATGCCATCCGCCTGGAATACCTCTAGAAGCATTTGGCAATTCTCGGCTTGAGGTCCCCTTAGGATTTCGCCGTCCCCAAACCTGGTGACGCTAAAAGGTCATATGCGTCCAATAGCTAACACACTCAAAAAAAAATTGGAATTCAACAACGATTCTTCTGAACGTGACAAATAGTGTTTATAAAAGTATTCATCCTTAAGAAAAACGTAACTTTGAAAGAATTGTTTTGAATTGTTTATTTTAGGGAATCGCATTATTTAATAGTATCGAGTGAATATCGAGATGTTTAGATCGAAACAGTGCAAACCCTATTGATCGTATCGATCGGCAACACATACCTGATTCAATTCAATTTTTTAATTTCGATTTCCCAACATTTAGTTTTGAAATAACACTGTGTATTTGTTACTTAATCCGTCGAAAATGAAAGGTCTATTACAGTTTTGTTAGTTGTAGAACTGTTTAACAGTAGTAATTGAAACGACACGCTTGTTTCAACAACAATGGATGTAGTTTGGTTAGTTGATATGTATTGCTCAAGAATCAGATGTACTCTGGGGACATTGAGTGATATTTAATCTAAACAATTTGCGTAAGTATTGTATTAGGTATGTAGAAACGTGCATTTTTTTCGGCAACAGTCCATTGGTGTTAGATTTGTCTGAAATGTAACGTCGAATGTACCTACTTACAATGCTTGATAATATTGAAAGAAAAAATTTCGAATACGTACTTTGTTCATTTTGTTGTCGAGAATTTTAAACGTAAAAATAGATATTAAAAGTCATGTCACAATTTTTGGAGGATAAAACGGTTTTCTTTTATCTCAAACCTTAATCATAATAGACAAATTAAAACATATTTGCAAAGGATATCCTATTTGAATGATTAACTTATTACATTTTGCAGTATCATCATTAATAATACGATCTGGTTTAATTCTCTAAATTATAATGATTAACTGTTATGATTTGTTTAAAACACTAACAATCAGTTTTTTGTAGGTAATATTTAGGTATAGGATACCATTTGTAATGTCAATAGTGAAAATGTCATATTATTTTGATAGTATAACATTTGCACTGTATATCATGTGATATACATTTATTAAAGACAACACAAAATTTAATATTGTTCGTACATAATATTTTTATTAATTCGTTGATGTCTTTTGCTTGCGATATTTTTAGTTATAGGTATTTCTAAAATTTCTTATTTTTTTTCAAGTGACGAGTAAATATGTGAGCATAATAAACAATTAGCTGGCTAGCTACAAGTACGTTAAAAAAGTTTGTGTTATGTTCCCATAGTGAGCAGTGTCTAAACTACTAACGAACACAACTATTTTTTGTCCCACATTGTAAGAATACAACGTCGTGTATAGTTTAATAACAATAACACTAAATTAAATACCAATTTTAGCTAATTTTAGTACCATAAGTAAGTTTTTTGTGGTCAATTAGGGAGTGTCTTTAATTATGTGACCACACCACTGTATGTATTTATAATTATGAACTAACAACCCAAATCAGATTTACTATTTTTTTTGTTAAAGACGCAGCAATTGACCGCACTTCATTCGATGGTAAGTGTACCGGAATTCAGAAGAAAATATTACGGGAAAAATTTCACTTACTTCAGCCAGATTCGAACCCTCATCTTCCGCTATCCGGGCGGACCTGGACCAAGTGGATTTTTTTCTACTAATATTTTCTTTAGATTTAAACATTTAACAGTTAAATGCTTAAAAAATTACTGAGTTCAGTTATGAAGTTAACTGATGCGGCAGACGAAATGTGCGTTACCATATCTACCTTGACTACTTAATGCCCTATAATGTGGAGCCCTGCAAGCTTAGTCACCAAAATAAACACAAGTAAAGGTTGTATTTATTACAATTTAGTTTTATATAACTTGGACGTAAGACCTATAGCTTACATTTCTCAAAGGGCATTAATTCTGTCTATTTTTTTGGTAACATATAATGTTTCAACAAGTAAAGTTCTTGTTCTTGAAACTGCAATTTAGGCAATGTGCTGGCAACATGTCACTATTGTTGCTGAACGGTAGTCGTTTAAATTTATTGTTTGCTTTTTTTAGATTAAAGGTTAAGTAAGCCTAAATTATATAATCTGCCAAACTTGTCGGTAGCAAAGTTTTTGTTAAACTCAGTTAAATTTATGTTAAAAATCCTTTAATTCAAATAGTCATACAATCAAAGATTGCCTTCCAAGGTAGGCGTAAAGCCAGGTCTCCAGTGCGTGTTTTGCCCTCTACAATCAACAAAACCGTGTACATAAAACTTTGTTGGCATCAACAAAGTTTTTGCTTTTCAAACCCGATTGAAAACATGTACACAAATCACTCCCCTCGTGGGTCGAGGAGCAGGGTATTGTTTCATCGGCCATTTTTCAACCACTCGCTAATGGGGGCTCCGTTCCAAACCTACGCTCCGGGTGCGATTTTTCACTTTGACGTTTGAATTTTGACATAAAATGTATGAAACACTTGTCAAATTTGAAAGTTATTGTACCTGGATCGTAGGTTTGAAACTCAGTCCTGTGTAGTTTGTCCAACAGCCGCGTGAGCAGTACACGGCGTGTGTAGAGAAACATGTTTCAGAAACAAAGTTTTGTGTATGTGTTTTTGCTGAGGGTCCAAGAAAACTTTTGCTGGAGACCCGACTTAAATTTATCATGTTATTTTTTTTGTCATTGCTTATTTTGTTTTTGATTTAGTTCAACGAAATGTATCATATTCATAAAATATTCAAAATAATATAAAGAAATAATTTTTACTCAATGAAGCCACTAGGAGGGTTGAGTTTTTCATGGTGTATGTTTATTTTTTAGGCTGGCGAAGATCAAATGTAAAGGTGATATTTTGATTTTTCTTCGATGCATTCAATGCAAACACCATGAAAATTGTTTACTAATGCATTGAACTACAAAATTGTTCTCATATGTGTGTGGAGAATTGAAGGCCTCGAGGAGCACTTTTCTATTCTCCATATAAACTTAAATTATGAAAAAATCTAATACTTCTTGCACACAATGTGCTTAAAAGGTGTTCAAGTTTGTCCTTCACCTCTTGCGACAAGAATGATGATGAAGCGATAAGATTTTATTCCCGTAAACGATGACATGGACTATACATTTTTTTAAACAATGTTATAAAAAATATTATATGGCGATATATTAGTAGTTCGTAGTCTATGATTAAGACAGTTTTAATAACGACTCGATTAAAATTCATACCGTTGTCAGTTTTCACTTTCCCCACTTTAATGGAAAGCTTTTCGCGAGACACGTCGTTAATCTCGTAACGCAACCCTTAGTTCTGAAACTTAAGGAAATGCATGTCTCCCGGTTTGCGGTTACCTAATAAGGATAATCCGGACACTTGAGGAGTGCAATTAATAATGGACGGGGCGGCTCACTGCCGAGATCTGTGCAAATGCTCCTTATGAATAGTGTGCGGGGAATTCGATGTTTGATTTTAGTATCAGTTTCAGCATGAGAGTCGACTATAAATACTTTATATTGAGGTGTTAATGCGATGATGTTTTTGGATAAAAAAAACAAGTTTGAATAGATGGAAACTTTAATATGATAAAAAAAAATCTAGAATTATTTTCTTAGAGTATTTTTTTTTATTTTTGGCGCAAAAATGAGCTGAGTCAATAAAATTTGAATCTTATTTCAATGTCATTTGTCGGATCATTTTAATTAAAACGTATTGATTTGATAATGATGACTACTTTAAAAAATAACTGTAAAACTCTAAAACGTATACTTATAACACGTATTGTTTGTAATGAATATCTTTTGATGAACTGCCTTTCAACATGAGCATTTCGGTAGCACCAAATAGAACAAATAGAAAAACTCTCGTCACAGATTGATAATGTACAGAAGGCTGCTGGGGAGCTGCTTGCTAATTACAAAAAGGTTGTATAGGTATTCTGGGCAGACATTGCGTCGGTATGAGGTCCGGCGGCGAGGCGAGTGGATCAAGTCCAAAACTGCCAAAAACTGGCCCCGTATCTTAGCCTTGAATGGCTTAGCCCCTGGACACGGCGAATAGCTGACGTAGCCGCGGGCGGGCGCGCCTTGCATACACAATGCGCGGGCGCAAGGCACGGGAGCAGTGGAGTCGTGAACAACCGCACTGTTTGATGAGCAAGCAAAAGTATGTATTTTCCCATGAAAGGATTAAATATGTCAATTGCGGAGAAAATTATGCATGTAATCTATTAAGTTTACTTAAAGTAACGATATTTGAAGTGAAAAGTCTATGTTTGATTTACTTTTTAAGTAATTGTAATGTGAAGGGATAGATAAGTTTGAATTTAGATTTTAATACTGTTATGTCCGTGGGAAAAAAAATGAAATTGATAAACAGAGAATGTTTTTCAGTCGTTGTAGTTACTGACAAAAAGTCACATAATTTTAGAATACAATTTGCTTTTTTATATAACATTTCATTGGTTTTGTCTTTAAATGTGCAGTATTGAAATGTATTCAAGGTTAGTTTTTTTTTACCAAATGATTAGATTAGGTCATAGAAAATGCAATAGAGGATCATAAAAAATTCGTTGATTAGTAGAGTAGTATTCAATTAATATAGTTTATAATGTCATTATAATGAATTTATTACTGACATATCCACCTTCCCACAGTCTATGCTAGCACAATTGATTATAAATTCTAAATCAGGTACTTTTATCCAATAATTGGAATCATTTTTCAGAGCGCGCTTTATTCTTGAATAATCTTCATTCGAATAGAATCGCATGAACTACCTAACCTAGCGGTTTTTCTAACTATACGCATTCAATACATGTTGTGTGCACGGGTTTTGGTTTTTGCAAGTTTTATTTGCGGATATCCAAGCATCATCACAGGTTTTGCTCTCATAAAATTGAGACAATGGGAATATTTATTAGTCATGACTAGGAAATATTCCCATTATCACATTCCAGGAATGTATCAGTAAACAAAGCGGTTATGCTTAGTTAATAGTATGAAAAATTGAAATTGTCGGTAAATTGATGAAAAAAATATTATGATTTTATTTATTTTTTAAGCATTTAATTGCTAGATGTTTAAATCTAAAGAAAAGTTTACTAGAAAAAAATCCACGCGGACTAGGCAGCGGACGGGACTCGAACCCGCATCCTTCGCTATCCGGGCGAATGCACTGACCATTATGCTACCACGGCCCTATTAGCCGCGTCGAAATTTTCCTAGCCTTAAGCTGCAAGGCAGCGCCATCTCTTCGCATTGTAGGTAACCCACAATGTCAAATGAATACTTTTTTTTTTTTTTTTCTAGTAAACTTTTCTTTAGAAAAAAATATTTTTAATATTCATTCGGTTTCAATCGTAGGCTAGTGCTATTTTTATTTTTTAGTATCTTTTCATGTCTAATAGAGTTTAGTAATCGTATGTTGACACACTTTAATAGAGAGTCGAAATTCTAAACTGCTATAAACCTTAAACATTTGATTGTTCGTTTATACAGTCTCAGTAAAAGAAACGCATGTTTACGTAAATAATAGACAGAAAGAAAATAGTTTTATTAACCCTTAACAAAACACAATATGTTTAAAGGTTATATATACAATATGTAAGGGCTAACCAGGACCCTGCCTGAACATTAGCTGATGCGACATTGTGTCGTACCAGCGCTGATATTCTGGCAGCACCTGCTTAGAGTTATATACAAACTTTATTTACCAACAGTAAATAAAAATATCTACGAACAAACGAACAAGTCACAACAAACAAGATAGCGTTATTTTGAACCATTTAACCATATACATATTAACATAAAAACAAAGGTCATTTAAAACATTCAAACACGCAGTAATTCCGTAATAAGTTGAATAGCTGTATGGATCTGGGATCTTTTGCTTTCATAGAAAAAAAAGTGTAAAAGTAAAACGAAAATTTAAAAAACATACTACAAGCTTACCTCAGTAATGCGAAATAATTTCTATTTGTGTCATGATAAGTACTTTATACATCATAATAAGTACTTTTATGTTATTGGAGCACATAATATAAATTGAAGAATTGAAAACGGAAAGTTTACCACGCCATCTCCACGGACGCCTCTGTCCGGCCCGGTAATGGAGTATTTCGTATTTGCTTCATTTTTTATTTTTTGCCAGTTCGATTACGCGAACTCGGTCTCCGCATCATTCTCGGCGAAATTCGGGAGCGTCTCAACGGTCAGCCGCCAGATATTAATTATTGATCGCCGATAAAGTAGGAAGATATAAATGTAGATGGAAATGTTGTGCCACTGAATATTATGGGTATAGCTGCGATGGCATCGAAATGCCGGGAAAATTTCACAAGTCCATTGACGATTTGTTACGCGCTCGACGCAAATGTCGTATAAATTTGTGTATTTTTTTTCTGTTTTGGCAAATTACAAGCTTTTGAAGGTAGTTATTTATTGTATTACTTGTTTGTACCCCAGATTTCATCTACATAGAAACCTTATACCTACCACTTTTACATACGTACCATGCCTTTCATGAACCTACCTTAAATTTAGATACTGAACTACCTAA